GGAAATGTTGCTGTGATTGCAGAGTGCCCACAGTGAGGGAATCTTCACAGAATCCCAGAACTGAGGCTGGAAAATCCCTCCAGGATCATCGAACCCACCCTGTCCCCGATGCTCGCCTTGTCCCCATCCTGAGCACTCAGTGYCACATCCWGTGACCCCTCCAGGAATGGGRACCCCAAAAMTCTCTGGGCAGCCCCTTCCCAGGCCTGATGCCCTTTCCAWTTGGAAATTCCTGCTGCTGTCCCCCCTGAGCCTCCCCTGGTGCAGCTTCCTAACCCTGCACATCACCCCGGAGTCTCATTTGTTTTCCCAGCAATTAACTGGGTGTTTCCAACACCAAAAGTACCCAAACAAATTAGGTGAAACAGTGCACTGCACATCACTGGCGCTGCAGACGTGTTTGTTGGGTGAGGGGGAATGAGCTCAGAGCAAACCAGAGCCCTCAGTCAYGGGATTTCTGCTGGGAAATCCAGCAGCATTTCTCTCCACGAGGCGTTGTCCACAGCCCCRCATCCCGGTGGGACAAACGCGCTGCTGGTCCAAGGACACAACGGAGAAGCCGGGTTTGAATACTTCATTATTTTCCTTTTTTTTTCGACCGGGATTATTTACAATGAGATTTGGGAGAAGCGGTTCACACCAAAGCAAACAGCCTGGAATATTTTAATTTTGTGTTCAGCAGCTCTCGCACCCACACAAACCAGCCCCGGGTGGTGCTGGGCGTTGCTGTCGTCGCTTTGAGCATTGTACCAGAAAAAAAAAAAAAAACCCCTTCCCCTGAGGTGGTCAGCATTGAGAGAAGATTGGGATGAATTCACTCATGAGAGGGTGGATCAGCTTCAAGGGCTGTTTTTGGGGTTATTTTGGGTAAGGAGGTTGCTGCTGGTGCTGTTGAGCCCCTGCCCCTCCTGGGCTGGCACCCTAAAAATGGGTTTTGGATGGGGAACAAACCTGCCCTGGTTCCCCACGAGCTGCGGGGAGCTCAGTGTGGCTCCAGCCCCGCGTCCCTGGGGAGCAGGATCGGAGCAGAGAGGGGTCAGAGCTGCTCCTGCTTCTGAGATTTGGGATTTATTTCACTTTTCCCAAAGCGAAAATCCTGCTCTTTGTTCGTGTACCTGCTGCTGGTGCAGAGACAGAAACGCTCATTGCCGAGCTGCATTTTCCCTCTGGGAGCCCTTTGGCACCTCTGATTCCCAAATTCCTGCCCCAGGGCCAGCAGGGAGAGTGTCCAGGACACCCAGAGAACCCCACAGCTCTACCCAGAGCTCTCCATCTCACATCTCAGGGGATGAACTGCTGGCTCTGTCACAGCCCCAACCCCGGGCAAGAGCGGGCTGGGCAAGGTTTTTCCTCTAAAACAACTCAGGACAGTCCTGGTAGGGTTCAAAAAGAAAAATTCCGGCATTCCAGCCTCCAATTTCACGTGGAAAGATTTTACACAGAGCTTCAGCAAATTCTGCTGGAGTAGGAAAGAGTAGAGGAGCCCKAAAGCAGAGGAAGGGGGTTAAATGCCTGATGGTCCTGGGAGAGGAAGAAATCCTGCACTTAAACATAAAGATGAGATTATAAACAACTCTGTTAACCAAAACTATCTGAAACCTGAGAGGCTTTTGTCACTGCAATCCCAATTTCGCTACTTTAATCAGCCTAACATATTGCTACCAGAAACCTGGGCTGCTYGGGGCCAAACTCTGCCTCTGCTGAAAAGCTGCCGAGGGCTAAGGGCACTTTGCGTTCGTCCTGATGTTCCTTCCGACAACAAAAGCAGAGAACAGCTGCAGAAAAAAGTGTCTTTGTGTGGTCAGCGGGAGGAGGAGGAGGAAAAAGAGGAAGAAGAGGAGGAGGAGAAGCTGCAGCTCTGGCCCTCGCTGTGCTTTAGGCTGATTTTGAATTTCACAGGAATAACACCACCAACATTTGGTGCATTTCCACAGCGATCTCGGCGCTCCCTGCCCTGTCCCTCGCCGCCCGGTGGCCGCTCACATCTCGCTGTCGGCGGGGCTGTTTTTGGAGTGCCCGTTCTTGGAGGATGCCTGGCCCGTCCCGTTCTCCTGGGTGCCCCCGTTCAGGTTGGGAAGGTTTGGCTTCTCCTGCAGCTCGGGCGGCTCCTGAGAAGGGGTCATCAGCATGGCGTTTCCCTGGCTCTCCGTGTAATARGGGTCTTCAGCCTGCCGGGGACACAAGGGACAGGGTAAGGGACGGCACAGGGGTCGGATTTGGGGACAGGAGGGGACAAACAGCCCCAGGACAGGGCTCTGCTCTCGCTGACAGGAAGGGAATAGAGAAATTTCTGAACAAATTTCTGAACAAATGAGAAATAAAACTCCCCAGGAGCTGCAGTTTTTCCTGAAAGAGAAGCAGTCAGGGTTTGGTGTTCTCTCCTAAGCAGGTTTTGGAGCTGACTTTGCTTCAGGATGGACATTCTGCTGTCCACTTTGGCCAGCAAGAAGCRTCACTGAATGGAAATGATGGAATTGTCTTTTTCCCTTCCCTTGCCCTCCCTCCAAGGCTCAGAGCTCGCAGAGAGGTGCCAGCAGCGGTGCAGGGCTGGGTGACACAATTCTGTGAGGAGCAGGCGCCTCTGCAGGACCCAGGGCCACCCAGAGCTGCTCCATCCCCTCACAAGAACTCACAAGAAATGTTGTGACACTTCCAGCAGCCCTGGAATGGGCACTGACCATCCCGGGTGGCAATTCCCAGCCGGAATTTCCTCAGCAGCATCCTGGCATTCCCTCAGCCCCCTTTCCATGGGTGAGCTGGGCACTGCTCAACTGGGATTGGGACTGGCACTGCCAGGGGGTTCCATGCCACATATTGCCACTGCTGCCAGCTCCAGGGACACCCAGGCAGTGTCCCTGCCTCTGACACAGGCAGATCTCAGCTGGGATTTCCTTTCCTTTCCTTTCCTTTCCTTTCCTTTCCTTTCCTTTCCTTTCCTTTCCTTTCCTTTCCTTTCCTTTCCTTTCCTTTCCTTTCCTTTCC